AAAGCCGACGTAAATAAGCTGCTCCATTCGCGCGTTCTTATATACCGTAGTTGTTTTCGCTACGGGTGCGCCAGCCTGCCGCGCGATGTCGCGTTGCGAAGAGCGAAAAAGTCGCGTTCTGTCCTAAGTACCCACACCCCGCATATATTCCATCCAACATAATCGCTATATTGTCAAATGCATTAATCGCGATCTATGAAATGGGACTAATGAAGGCAGAATCAGTAGAACAGGCAAGTCAAAAGATCCTGAAAAAAAAATCGGATGAGTGAAGGAAGCACTCGCAAGTTCTGAATCTGATGATACACTGACTCTAACGATTTAGAGTTTTTTTTTCCTAAAGAGATGCTCCTTCGTCAACAGAATCAGGCAGAGGCTGCCCCAACCCTATACAAAGCACTTCGATGTGGAAAAATTTGAAACGAAGTAAGGCGAGGAAATCGGAAAGCTAATGATTTCAAGTCGGAGAGATTCAAGGCGAGCTGATGAGTTCTTGTAAAGAAGCCGAATCGAGAGTTTAAGAAGTCGTCTTCCTCAATCGAAACCATACCTTTAGGTAGATCCTCGAAAGAAACGCAGAAACCAAATATCGACCTCCGCTATAGACAGTTCGACACACAAAGAATGGTTCGATCTCAACTTTTACGCGACTATCACGCGAGAGATAAGAAGGTCGACGGCATGATAGCAGAAATGCCACTTGGTGCATTGTTACGTAGCACAGAAACAAAGCTTCATATCGGAAAAACATTCCGCTAGCTGATAATGCTATAACGCTTGGAACCTTTCGCACGCAAGCCCATAAATGATGGTTTTTCGGTCAATTTTGAGAAAATACATACACGCCAGAACGGGGGCACCCTCCAGATTTAAGCCTAGAAGACGGGGGGAACTCTGCTGGAAATTAGAAGTGCTCACGCATCCTGGTGTCCTCCCGCGCATGAGGCAGCCCCATTTTGAGGTCTATTCCACTTAGGGTGCATCACGATGCAGTTTCTCGGCGAACTAGCGTGAACTCGAACATTCCAGCTTTTCACTCATGCCAAGTGACTGCCCTCACCCACTCTGAGATTTTTTGGACCCCCATTTTTAACAAAGAAGATATGTTCTGCACGATATTAAATGCAGCCACCACAACACCCCTGTATCTTGCGATAGCACCAATTTCTGCTTTTCACGCATGGAGTACAAAGTCTGGATTAGAAAGTGAATAAAAAAAACCCTGTTAGAAACCGCTTTTCCATAACTGGATGGATAGCCTGTGAATGACTCATCTCACCAAAGTAAATTTCCACGGAAATTGCACGCAGCGCCAAAGCAATGCACGACCATTTAAGATGGACAGTTTTCTTCCATAAAGGTATCGATGTCCCTGAGTTTTATTGCTTCCAATTGTATGTGTATAAGATTGGATTGAGTTCATAGTGAGAGTGGGAATGCTCAATAATGCCCCAGTGGTGAAAAAAGCAAAGACCGTATAATGGGATTACTTCCATTTGCAGTAACCTCCGATAATGGACGAGCTAGCAATCAACTAAGGGGTCGTTTGCACAAGTTAAACCGGTGTGATTAGATAGCTGAGAGAGCGTAGTGTTGAAGAGGGCACAGCGATGAGAGTCGCATCAATGCTCAAATCAACGGGCAAGGAAGGGGTCCATTTCTCGGGTTCTGGGCAGAGTCAACCCTGCGTTGCGCAGTTCGCAACGGCACGTTGAGAGATCCTCAACGCACGCTGTATGGGCGGAGACACAGACGGCTCGAGCATGCGAGTGTGAATGTTCGCGCGAGAGAACGTGTCTAATCGGGCGAAACTGCGCAACGTGGCCGTTGAGAACTGCGCAACGCAGGGTTGACTCTGGTTCTGGGCCGTTTCTCATGGTTCTTCCTTCTTTCGTGTACCACTCACCATCCCTAGGTTAATTTGAAATGGGTTGCTTTTTCATCGTGAATTCGTCCTTTAAAGGCAAAGCAATGAAGCGAAAGAACAATGATGCTGCTACAGAGCAACACACCGATGGGCGGAGCACAGAAAGGAATGGTAGTTCCAAGGTGCTGAACTAGCGCGCCTTTGACCACGAAAAGAAACGACCAGCATCCTCGCTCGCTTGGGTCTCTGACTTACGCTGCTTAGCTCATGTGAATAGTACTTCCATATGGCTGCACACACACACACTTTAGGTGGCGTTGCATCCCTCGCTTTAAGCTTCTTCACCTCTATACTCCAAATTGTGCCACCCTTTATATTCCAGGTTCTTCGACAAGCCTTTCGTAACCAAAGGCATATACCTATAACCGATCGTGAGGAGTGGTTTTTGTTAGAAAACTCAACCGCCTTTTCAGGTGCACGCGCACCCACCATGCTACATTTAGACATTTAACTTCCTTCTCTAGCTCTCCATTCTTTTCGGTTTTTCACCGGCTTTTCTTTCACCGACTTATGTGAGTGAGTCTGTGATAAGTCATCTTGACACCACCTTTCCACGCTCGCCATTGCGGGCGGTCTTCTGCTCAGTCCAGCATGCTGGACACCTCAGATATTGCTCACCTGGAGAGTCAGCAAGTGCCTGCGATTGACAAGTGATAAGGGGCGTCAGAGTGTGAGTACCACCAATTTCGTTCAACCCTTCCCGGTGAAAGTGAAACTTTGG